ACTCAGAGTGTACTAAGAAAAGTGAGGGCTAAGGACTAGGACTTGGGATTGCACAAATTTAGGAGGTTAAAGGGGAAAGAGAGGATGTGGCCTGAGAGAAAGGAAGAGAACCAGAACAGTGTCATTTAAAGAAAAATTTGGGCCGAAGCCGGTTTGGCTCAGTGGATGGGGCGTCAGCTTGCGGACTGAAGGGTCCTAGGTTCGATTCTGGTCAAGGACATGTACCTGGGTTGGGGGCACATCCCCAGTGGGGGATGTGCAGGAGGCAGCTGATCAATGTTTCTCTCTCATCGATGTTTCTAACTCTCTATCTCTCTCCCTTCCGCTCTGTAGAAAATCAATAAAATATGTTAAAAAAAATAAAGAAAGAAAAATTTGGGAGAAGAAGAGTTCAAATAGAAGAGTTCAAACACAGAGGAAGTCAGCAAACCCAGATGCTGCAAAGGAGAAAGAGGAATGAGACAAAATCTTTGGGTTTGACACTTAGAAGTCATTGTTGATTTTTAAAACCTTCTATAAGAGCAACTGGATAATGTGTATCAAGAGTCAGGGGGGAAAAATAATTCTACTTTTAGGAATCTTGCCAAAGCAAATAATCCTAAACTTTTAAGAGTTACCTGCATAACGATGTCTGTTTACAGAGTTACTTAGAAGGGAGGAGAATGGAAATAGCCTAAAAGACCAACAAATAAAGTGCTGAACTAAACTAAGGTATATAATAATAGTCATTTTAATTTTTTAAAATAATAATCATTTTTAAAATATAAAGTCAACTTTTAATATTATTTATAACTAAAAAGAGTAAGATTCCCTTAAAGAAATGACTGATTACAGATCTTCAGCAGGGGAAGTACAAGTTGAATCTGGAATATCTTGTGTATGAGAGCAAGTAAGTGCTTAAAGATTGATAGGACCAAATCAAAAGGACACAGAAGCCTTCTGACAGGACTCCTATTGGACAAATTTGGGGCAATTTGAGCATCAAAAAGAATATTGGTAACAATAGATTATATCACATAGAACTAAATAATTTTTGAGATCATGGGGAGAGAGAGAAAAAGAAGAAAGAGGAAGAATTCTTTACAGAAGAATGCCAGATAATAAACACAGAAGTAATGACAGAAGTAGAGTCACCATTTTGCAATCGCAGTGTAATAACAAATGCAAGCAGGGAAGCCAAAACCACTTGGTAAAACCTTGTTGGGAGCAAATAATGAAAAGGTCTTAGGAAAGCACAACAGAACTTACTTTAACTTGTTGTGTAGAGAGAGCTGATGAATTCTAACTTAACCAAGTGAGCAAGCCTGGCACCACCAATAAAGAGACAAATATGCACTAGTGGCCTCCTGGTGTGACACAACATCCCCTACGAGGTGGTCTTTTCAAAACTGAAAAGTCTTTTCAAATATGTTTAACCTGAATCTAGTCATGAGGAAACTATGGAGGGATCCAGAATATGGGACATTCTATATGACAACTGCTTTGGACACTTCAAAACAATGCTATGAAAAAACAAATTAGCAACAATAAAATGGGGAACTGTTCAAGATTAAAGAGACTAAAGAAACTTAAACAAATGCAATAGAGGAATCTTGATGAAATCAAATCTATGTAAGTATATATAGGGTGTCCCAAAATTCACGCAAGATTTGAATTTTGCGTGAGCATTAACAACAACAACAACAAAAAACAAAAGCCTAATTTTACTTGGTTTATTGAATCAAATTCTAATATCTGTTGTCCTTTGATTTCAATTCCTTCAATTTGATAAGCATTACCAAGTACCAATTATGGCCCAGGAGCAGGGACAATGAAGACCAGTGAAGACTACGCTTTGTGTATGTGCCAGCAAAGCTGTGGAGGCCACCCGATGTGCTATTCCATACATAATCTCATACTGTATATTTTATGGATCAATAAAAAATTTACAATTTTTAATTATAAACCTGTGTTTTCTATCAAAATTACTTCTTGCATGAATTTTGGGACACCCTTTATAAATACTAAAGGCCCAGTGCACGTAATTTGTGCCTTGGGAGGGAGGGGGGTCCCTCAGCCCAGATTGTGAGAGGGCATAGGCCAGGCTGAGGGACCCCACCAGTGCACAATCAGGGCTGGGGAGGGATGCAGGAGGTTGGCCAGCCAGGGAGGGACCGCAGGAGGGCTCCAAGGCATGCCTGGCCCATCTCGCTCAGTCCTGACCGGCCAGACCCCAGCAGCAAGCTCACCTACCAGTCGGAGCGTCTGCTCCCTGGTGGTCAGTGCATGTCATAGTGAGCAGTTGAGTGGCCTTAGCATATCTTTAGCATATAACACTTTGATTGGTTGAATGGATGACTGGATGACCGGACACTTAGGATATTAGGCTTTTATTATATAGGATATGACTATATATATATATATATATATATATATATATATATATATATATGATTTTGCAGAGAAAAATAGAAAAAATTCAGTATAGACTGAATTTTATCTATTTGTCTATCACAATAGGCAATACTATTGTGATAATGATCTTATGGCCCTATAGAAGAATTCCTTATTCTTAGGAAATTGCTGCTGAAGTATTTAGAGCTGAAGTGCCATGATATTTGCAACGTGCAGTCAAATGGTTAAGGGGAAGAAAGGGGGATAGAGCAAATATGGCAAAATGTTCAAAAAGAGTGAATCTAGGTGAAAGGTATACAGATTCCCACTGTACTTTCTTTGAGCTTCTCTGTAGGTTTGCAATTTTTTAAAAAAGGAGTTGGAAAAAAATAAGACATAACAAAAATGGGGAAATTATGCAATGCTAAGTATAGCTCTACAAAATAAGAACAAGAGAAATGTTCTGTATTCATTTCAACAGGCTCCTGCCACACAACAGGCTCTGTACTAAGTGGTGGGAACACCCTGTTCCCCTTCAGAAGCCTGGTTTTATGGCGTTATGCTTAACGTGCTTAACATTCAAGACTTAGGATCTGGCCAATGCCACCCAAGTCTCAGAGGACGCTTGCTGTGACAGCTTCACCTCTGCTATCCTGGGTTCCTAGCAAAATGCTTGGCCCCATGACACATTCAGTAATGCCTGCTTCCAGGAGTCCACACTTTGGTGGGAAAGGAAATTGCATTAACAGGTAATTTAAAATAAAATTAAGAAGATGGTGCAGCCCTAGCCAGTTTGGCTCAGTGAGTAGAGCATAGGCCTGTGGATTGAAGGATCCAGGTTCGATTTCCGCCAAGGGCACATGCTTGGGTTGTGGGCTTGATCCCCAGTGTGGGGCATGTATGAAGCAGCCAATCAATGATTCTCTCTCACCACTGATGTTTCTATCTCTCTCTTCCTGCCCCTTCCTCTCTGAAATCAATAAAAATATATTTTTTAAAAGGAATGCTAATTGTTTACTTTTAAAAAAAGAACATGGTGCACAGAAGGCATTAAGCATTTTAATTATCATTTAAACTCTTACCTTTATTATCATTTAAACTCTTACCCCTCCTCATCTAACTTTATTTCCTACTCTTCCCTACTATGAATCCTCCCCTTCTTTATGGCATTCTGGTTCCTACCTCAATGCCTTTGCTCAGCTCATGCTGACCTCCTAGCTTGGCATGAATAAACTTTCACTCCTTTGCTCCAAAGCCTACCCAGCTCAGGTCTGTTTTTACAAGGTGCACATGTCATTTTCCCAACTGTAGTTCATGAAGCCAGACAGGGTGCCAGATATTTCAGTATTTCCTACAGCCTAGCTAATCAAAGTGTGGCGGGAGGACCAGCAGCACCTGGCGGGAGTCTATCAGAGCTACAGTCTGGAGTCCTATCCAGCCACAACCTCAGAATCAGACACTGAAGTTGAACAAGTTCCCGGGGAGATTCATGGTCACATTAAAGTGTGAGAAGCACGGTCCTGTAACACTAACTAGAGTATGAGTAAAGCAGAAGCTCAAATATTTTGAGACCTGAGGCCCTCCCTGGGGATCCTAGGGGATTCTCAGGTTTGCCATCCAGCTTTGAGCCCCCTTCCTGGGCTCTTTGCTCCCTCAGAAGGCAGGTAAGAACCTAAGAGTGAGGGAGGCGCTGAGGCCGTGTCCACCGGGTGATGGTGAGGTGAAGCTGCTACCTTCCCAGCAGAGCCGAAAGCAAATGTTGATGTCTGCTTCGCGGGTACTTTTCTGGGGGAGAAACTGGCTTTACTTCTAACACAAAAACGCCTATCGCTTCAGCAACCCAGCCTCAGGGTAAGAGCTATGTGGCAGACAACATTGGAACGGTTTCTGGACTTGATTTATTGACTTGTCTGTTTCTCGTCTATCACTAATCTGATTGACGACGAAACCCGGGATGTGACTTAAGGCGATTTCGGCGGGAGCGCGCGCTCGGTGGGCCTGCTGGAGACGGGTGCTCGGGAGGATGAAAGGCATGTCTGCGGGGGCCGTTGGCGTGTGCGGAGGGCGTGTGTGGAAACGACACGGGAGGAGTGGGCGCCTCTGGGAAGCTGGTTGTCTGTGATGGGAGCTGTGTCTGCCGGGCTGGAGTCTGAACCAGGCGAGCAGCTGGGCGGGAGGAGGCAGGTGGGGCTCCCCAAGGGAGGGTGTCGTTACAGACACATCTTAGGCAGAGCCCCCTTTCTCGCCCTCCCCAGCGTCCCCTCCTCGGGTCTGATTTCCCAACTGGGGGGCCTTGGGGGAGGGGAGGGAGAGGGACGAAAGGTGCCCGAGGGCTCTTCGCTGGCAGCAGCGGAGGGAGAGCCGGTGGGACAGGTGCGCCCCCACAGCGGCAGCGGGTCACACGTGGAGGGCTCGTCCTCCGTCCGGGACTCGCCCCTGCCCCGGGGTCGCCCGCTCCAGTCCCCGGGAGTCCCCTACCGCCCGCAGCCCGCGCCCCTCTCCGCGGGGGGCCCGGGAGGTGGACCCCGCCGGGAGCGGAACCCCGCCCCTCCTTGTTACTGGCGAGCCCCGCCCCCCGCCGCCGCGGAGCCCCGCCCCCGCCCCGCCCCCCGCGGCCGCGGCTCGGAGCGCAGTCGGCGGGCCCCATGCTGCTGAGCGGAGCTCCGCCCGCGGGCTCCGGCCCCGGGCCGCGGGCGCAGGGGGGCGCGGGGGGCGGCCCGGGGGGCTCGCGCCGGGGCGCCGGGGGGCCCGGGGCCGGCCCGGGAGGAGGCGGCAGCGGCGGCGTGGCCAAGTGGCTCCGGGAGCACCTGGGCTTCCGCGGGGGGAGCGGCGGCGGCGGCGGGGGCAAGCCGGCGCCCCCGGAGCCGGACTACCGGCCGCCCGTGCCCGCCCCGGCCGCGCCCCCCGCGCCCCCCCCGGACATCCTGGCCGCCTACCGGCTGCAGCGGGAGCGGGACTTCGAGGACCCCTACTCCGGAGGGCCGTCCGGCTCCGCTGCCCTGGCCGCCCCGGTAGCCCCCGGCCCCACGCCGCCCCCGCGCCACGGCTCGCCCCCCCACCGCCTGATTCGGGTCGAGACCCCGGGTCCCCCAGCGCCCCCGCCCGAGGAGCGGACCTCTGGACCCGCGGCCGGCGGCGACAGGGTGAGTGCCGGGGCGGGCGGGGGGTCCGGGAGCAGAGGCGGCGGTGGGCTCGGGCTTCGGAGAGGGACAAAGGTGGCCTGGCCGCCGGCCCCTCGGTGTCACGGCTCCTGACGGACCCCGGGGGCCCGGAGCCTTCACCCACCTTTGTTCCAGTTCTCGACCGACTCCTCTGGGCGCGGGCCCCAAACTCTGCCTCTGTCCCCTCTTATCGCCCCAGGACTCGGCGACCCTCCCCCTCTGGGGCTCTGATCTCCTCCTCGCAGCCCCCAGGAACCTAACCAGCGGACCGGGCTTTTTCTAACGGGATTTGAGTTCCCCTCACCCCCCCTATTGGCCCTTCTGCCCACGGGGAGCAGCAGCTCACTGCCCTTTGATCTCTGACCCCTCCCACCAGGAGAGAACCAGCACAAAGCCCCACTCCTCCGTCTCCTCCTCCTGTAGCCCGAGCATCCTTGCAGGTGCTGGAGCCCCGGGAAGGAGGGGACGGCTGGGGTTTCTCCCTGTGGACACAGCAAGAGCTGGCCTTTGCCTCACCCAGTCGGACTGGAGCTGGGTGGACTGTTGTTCTCGGGAAGCCAGACGGGCCGTGCGCAGCTCTGCGCTGAGGATGCTGACCACTGAGGCTCGGGCAGGCCCACCCTACACTCCTTCCCCTGTCCCCCCAGGTGCGGGGACAGCCAGTGCTCAGAACCTGTTGCCCAGAAGGGGCTGACCAGCTGAGACCACTCTTCTTCTCCTCTTGGCCTCTCCCTCCCTCTGTCCATTCTGAGGGTGGCGAGAGCCTTTTATGGATCTGCAGGCTTGGGATGGAGAGGAGAGCTGGGCGCCCCCTGTTCAGAGAACACCCGCTGTGCCTCGGCAGGCCCTGGTGGAGAAGCCACCCCACGCCCAACCGCAGTTTGACTTACCCCTCCTTGACAGCGGAAAGCCATCCCCAGGTCCCTCTAGTCCTAAATTTTATGACGGTCTGGGCCGCTCTGGCTCTGTTGTCCCTCTTCACTCTCCCCTGGGAGCTCAGCGCTGGGGCTTGTTCCCCCTCCTCCTCCTCAGAGAACAGTTTTATTGTATCGGAGAGCAAATTGCTGTCCGAATCCACTGGCTCCAGGGTGGAGGCTTTCAGCTGAGAGAGCGCTGTTCTGCCTGATTTCCTGGGCAAGAGAGATGTGTCAGGGTCAGAGCAGAAGCCTCAGGAATGCGAATTATTTTTTCCCCTAGTTCCTGCCAGGGGGCACGGCTGCCCATCCTGAGTTAGGATCCTTAGCCTGCAGAAGGAGGCTGTGCTTTCTTCACATGTCCTGACCTAGTCTTCTCTTTTTCCCGATTGTCCCGGCTATTGGTGATGTGATGGTGGTGCAGTAAGGCACGGAGAGCATTAGGCCTTGTTTTTACTATTTTTTAAAAATGCTTTTGTTGATTTTAGAGAGAGAGAGGGAGAGAGAGATGGAAACATCAATGGTAAGGGAAAATTGATTGGCTGCCTCCTGCATGCCCCCTATTGGGGATAGAGCCCTGACCAAGAATGGAACCGTGACCTCCTGGTTCATGGGTTCAGGCTCAATCACTGAGCCACACCAGCTGGGCTTGTTTTTATGATTGACCAATAGTCTCCTCCTCCCTGTCCACACCCATTCGCACATGGGCCTGAGCTGTTCCTGGCCCTCTTCCTCCTAGAACGCTTTAACAGCCTTCTCACCAAGCTGTGGGCTCCTCCACAACAAGGACCATGTTCTCCTCAAGTCTGTGTCTTCCAAGTGATGGACACCAATTTTGGCATAAAGAAGGGTGCATGAATACGTCCCGAATGATGACTGTCCATTGCCGGGGTGGCCTGAGGGTCAGAGACCTCCTTGTACATTTCGCCACAAAGACCCCACAATGAAGGGGCTGTGCCCACACAACCATGCAGAGACCTGCAGCCTCCTCTCACTGAGGGCATCATGCCTCACCCTGGGTCAGCTCTGTGATCTGTGGGCTGTTCAGCCCTTGGGGGCCAAGAGGTGTCTGACTCCTTTGTCAGCTGCAGGGACAGGAATGAAATCCAGCAGGATATCCTGGGAACCACACAATCGGTGGTTTCTTTACCAGGTGTGATGAGAAGGAACCAGGATGCCATCCAAGATGGCCCAGGGGCAGGGATGCTGACCTGGGACTTCCCACCATTCCGAGAGAGCAGCTCCACCCCTTTAGGAGCCTTTTTGGGGACCCCAGAGTCTTCCCTTAGGAAGAGCCCTGGCGAGGTACCTGAACCCCTTACCCTAAATCCAAGTGTCAGCACATGCCTACAGAACTCACTCTGCCCCTGAACAGTGAGCTGGCTGTGGCTCTTGAGGCATTACTGAGCCAGCTTTTCCATTCTGTGGCTGTTTTATCCCTAGTCTCTGTTCTCCCTCCTCTCAGCCCTGCAGATCCTCTTGGCTTGTTGCTTTTGGGTCACTCGCTGAGGTGAGGTAGGCACTGAATGTACCTTGGGCTGGTCAGTTTCCTCCGAGAGGCCAGTGACTGGTGCCAGAACCCTGTGAAAGGGGCTGGTTTGCGAGGTTTGATGAAATGGGTGGAAATGCCTCTGTGATGAGCCAGAGAGATTGAGGGGAAATGAGTTCAGTGACTATGGGGTAGGAGAGAATGGGGACTTAGATGGGACCCTGGGAGGCCCAAGGGGCTCAGGACCATTAGCTTTCTCCCCAGGCAGGGCTTTGGCTGTTGGCCCACCCTGAGACCTACTGCTGCAGTTGGCAAGGTACCAGGGTGGCCATCTGGGCAGGCCTGGCAGGACAGGCATGGGAGCAGCAGGAGCCGAGCCTTGCATGGGATGGGAAGGCAGAGACTCGCCATCTGGCTGAAAAAGAGCTCCCGCTTGGTGTGTTGGACCCTTTCTGGCCGCCAGGCCGTGCTCTGACAGGGGTTAGAGAGCCAGGCTTGCCCTTGCTTTGCTCCCTTTTCTCAGACCTTCAACAGGAAAAACCTGGTCTAGGAAAGGGGGATGGGGTGGGAAAGGGGCCCTGATTGGATGAAGTTTTGAGCTGTCTGTGACCATCCGCACAGTGTGTCCTTTGCCTCCATCATGCCAAGATATGCGTGTGTGTGTGTGTGTGTGTGTGTGTGTGTGTGTGAGAGAGAGAGAGAGAGAGAGAGAGAGAGAGAGAGAGAGAGAGAGAGAAATGTGATGGGAACAATAAGACAGGCATCCTGTATGAAGTGAAACTAGAGCTCTTATTCTTAGCTTATGGGGGCGTTTCTGGAGTTCATGAGCCTCCAGAAATTGTGCAGATATTTGAGTAGATGAGCATTTTTTTCTGGGAAAAGTCTCACAGCTCTCAGATTCTCACAGGGGTTCACAGGGCCCAACATATTAAGAATGTAAATAAAAATAGGTGTACCTCATAGATGGTATCCTCAGGCCCAAATTTAGAATGAATGAACAGACAGGTAGGAAGAGTACAGTAAAGTGAAGGAGATATTTGGGTGTCTGAAATTACACAAGACATGCCTGCCCTGGGGTTAGGAGGGCGGGTAGGGGCCCTCCCTTACCCATTGTTCATTGAGTGTTTATGTATCATTAAATGATACCTAGGCCCTGAAAGGGACTCACCACCCAGGAGACCTGGTCCTTGACTTTTTTGAGTTTGCTTGTTTGCTTTAATTTTCCTTGTTATGCCTTCCACAGAGCCCCGAGGTCTGATCTGTTTACCTAGCACATGGCCTCCTGTGGAAGTAGAGGGAGGAGAAGAGAGAGGTCCAGATCAGGAACCTTTGTGGACTGGCTAGACCTCTTAACCCCTCTGTGGCCTGAACTGGTCGTCTGTGCTGCAGGTGGTGCTTTGGGGAGGGCTGAGGCCTGAGACCTGTGGGATTGTATGGCAGGCCTGTCCACTCAACCCAGTGCCGCCTCCTCATATTGCGGCACTCCGACCCTCTAGAAGACATCTTTGGCTTGTTGGCTTGGGCGATGACTCAGAGACACCTCAGCCCTGGCACTCTGTGCATTGGGAGTCTGGAACAGCTGGGACCCTGTAGACCAGTGGTTCTCAACCTTTCTAATGCCACGACCCTTTAATACAGTTCCTCATGTTGTGGTGACCCCCAATTTCATTGTTACAAAAATTGAACATAATTAAAGCATAGTGATTAATCACAAAAATAATATGTAATTATATATGTGTTTTCCGATGGTCTTAGGCGACCCCTGTGAAAGGGTCTTTCGACCCCCAAAGGGGTCGCAACCCACAGGTTGAGAACCACTGCTGTATACCATGAATGGGAATGGGAGCAGCTGACTGGGCCCTGGGCTTGGAGGGGGACCTGCTGCCTACTCCAGTTGCCCTCACCATAGAACCAGTGTGATATTATATGACAGCAGTGAACCTGTGGTGCCTCTAGAGCAGTGGTTCTCAACCTTCCTAATGCTGTGACCCTTTAATACAGTTCCTCATGTTGTGGTGACCCCCAACCATAAAATTATTTTCGTTGCTACTTCATAACTGTAATTTTGCTACTGTTATGAATCGTAATGTAAATATCTGATATGCAGGATGTATTTTCCGGGGTCGCGACCCACAGGTTGAGAACTGCTGCTCTAGAGCCTGGGTCCCAGACATGGGGCTTCACAGCACCTCAAGATGCTTCAATCTTTTGGAGTTTATTCTGTGTCTGTCACTGTGAGCTTCTTGAGGACCAAGGAATTGGGTCTCTTCATCTTTAATGATATAATGGCGGACATTTACTGAGCACTTACTCGGGCCTGGTACCATTTTGAAGCGGCTGACATGGATTGGGCCAGTGAGCCTTACCACAATCCATTGAGGACATTCAGTTGTTATCCCCGGGTTATAAACAGGGAGACTGCCGCACAGGAATGCTGGGTCACACTTGCGTGGTTTCATAGCTAGTAAGCAGGAGAGCCCAGGTTGACAGCCAGGCAGCCCGACTCCGGATTGGCTGCTAGCACCGTGCCAGGGGACCCCTGCACTTATGGAGAGGAGCCCCGCAGAGCAGAGGTGCTCACTAGACATTTGCTAGTGAACAAGGGGAAGGAGACTCGGAGAAGGAATGAGGAGTGCATTCTGGGCTGAGTTCACCAATTTCTGGATGATGAAGGACAGCATTTGCCACCTAATCTCTAGGGAGCCATAGACACACCTTGTAAGGCATCGATTTCATCCATCATCTTCTTCCCAAGCCTATGGGTTAGGTACTAATACCAGCCCCATTTTACAGATAAAAATACAGAAGCCTCCAGATAGTAAGTGTAAATTAAAGAAACAGAGGAAAGGGGCAGTGGCAGATTTGGAGGACCTTGCAGAGCCAAAGCCTGTAATGTTTGTCCGCTTGGTCTCCCTGGACTCACAAGCCCCATGGAGGGCAGAGGTCAAAGACTCATAGCAGGGCCCAGCTGCAGAGTAGAAGGTTCCACCAGATGGTGGGCCTTCCAGCCACTTCAGGAGAGGCTTGGGCAGGAAGGAGAGTCCAAACCTGACAGCTGCTCTGGGAGGGGCACTGCCCAGTTGGAACAGGCACAAGAGCTGCCTTCTGGAGGCACCCTGCTGGATGACAGAAAGGAGGGGATCTGGTGGGCAGGCGGTATGGGGACAAAGGGGCCCTCTGATTCAGCATTTCAACAGCATTGTGACTACCAGAGGGCTTGCCCAAATATCAGCCCTGGCCTTGATGTCTTCCCTGCTAGTTTCTCTCTTCTGCTCCTGAGTCAGGGGCTTTGATCCCCATTCTAAAGTCGAGTCTCTTGACAGCCTGCTCCTACAGCTGCTAATGGTTGGTCAGAGTTCAGATAAATGGGGATCTGAGAGTCTATGGTAGGGGTGGGCAAACTTTTTGACTCGAGGGCCACAATGGGTTCTTAAACTGGACCGGAGGGCCGGAACAAAAGCATGGATGGAGTGTTTGTGTGAACTAATATAAATTCAAAGTAAACATCATTACATAAAAGGGTACGGTCTTTTTTTTTTTTTTTTTTAGTTTTATTCATTTCAAACGGGCCGGATCCAGTCCGTGGGCCGTAGTTTGCCCACGGCTGGTCTATGGGTATAGGGAGAAGGAGGCCTGTCGAGCCTCCCGGTAATGTGCACTGAGCACCCACTGTGTGCCAGGCTCCGTGGTGGACGTGGTGTATAATAGTGAGCACATTAGAGTCTGGTAAATACACAAAATAAATAGTGGTAGGACAAAGGTGTCAGAAGCCTACAGGGGCAGCTTCCCCCACTGAGCAGTTTTGCCTCCTTGTGTAACCCAGAAGCTCCTGAGGAAGCAGGCCTGGCCTATGACACGGGTCCTCTGTTCTTGGGCAAGTGCCTGTCCTGCCTGGTTTCCCAGCAGGCATTTCTGCTGTTGCTCCTGACTCCCAACCCCATGGGTGGCTCCTTGGGCACCCCAGCCCAGGGCAGGGGGGTTGGGGCTTCCTGGAGCAGGGTGTGGAGCCAGGAGTGGAACAGAGGAGCCATTGAACTGCCCACAAAGCTGCCACCTGGGCGCCCACGGGCACCAAGGGCTGGCGCTAGGGAGGCCCACGCAGCCTAGGAGGGGTCGTGGCTCTAGGCACCGGCCCAGGACTCCAGTGGGAAGGGTGCTGAGTGCAGCTGTGACCCAGCTTGGCGAGGGAAGGGCTGGGGGGCTCTGTGGAGTTGCGGGCCACCGGTGCGTGGTTCTGGGTGCTTCTGCTCACTGAGCAGCTTCCAGGGCCTCAATCCCCTACCTGGTCCTCCACCCCACCCGGATTCATGCTTCCTCCCTCTTCTGAATGAACAAGAGAATGCGCTTCCTTTGTCCATTCTTCCTGTTTTATGTGAACTGATTTAACAAAGATTTACTGAGCACTTTTGGGCACTAGGAATTTAACAGTAAACATTCTTGCCCTCAGGAAGCTCACAGTCTGCAGGAAGACAGATAATAAAGCAAGTATTCATTACACACATGATGACAGCCCAGCTCAGAGGCACTAACCTGCCCTGGGGGGAGAATGGAAAGGCTTTCTGAAGGAAGAAAAGAATCTGATTCAGGCTTAGGGAAAGCTTTTGAGGTGAGAAAAAGAGCATTGAGCTTTTAGGTAACAATGTGATCTGAGATGGGTAAAGAGAAACCAAAGAGGAAAGTGGAATCTTAAAATCTCTTTAACTATGGACTTTCTATTGTAGCCACTGGAGAGCCATTCAAGGTTTAAGGATAGCCTGTCCGTTGATTCAGTTACTGTTGAGTTGCTGCCATGTGTGAGTTGTGAGTCTGGGTGCCAACTGGGCTGGGTACCCAACAGGCTGGCTCCAGAGCCCCCTTGGTCAAGTGGGTGGGGCCACTTGGGGGGGTGCCAGCTGGCCTGGGAGGAAGCAGTTTGGGGGAGGAGGGGTGAGTGGATTTATTTTCTTTACTTCTTGGAGGAAGGAGGATGAGGTGTGGTGGGCTCTGAGGGAGGTAGGAGGTGATCTAATAGAAACATTTTTCTAATAGAAACATTACTCCAGTGCCTACTGTGAGCTGGGTACTTACTGGAGCCGGAGAGACAAAAATGACAAAGGGCTCCAGGCTAGTGGCTGATCTGGTGGTGGGTTAGGAAGATCTGAGATGATAGAATTCTTGGAAGCAGGCAGAGATCTGAGGGCAGAAAGGGGCTGGGCGGCTTGACTAGGACAAAATGGAATAAGGTGGGAGCTGAAGAGCTGAAGGGTGAGATGGCAGGAGCCTTTGGGACATGCTTTGGAGACCTTTGGAGGGGTTTGCAGCAGCCCAAGGAACATGAAGAAGGGGTCTCTGAGGTGGGAAGCTTCCTTTTTCCATCTCTGCCTTACTAAGGGTCCCATCCGCTAACCCAGGGCAGGGAGGTCACCCTTACAGCTTCCCTGCTCAACTGGCTCCCACAGTCCTGATCTGTGGGATCTTGGCCCAGAACCAAAGCCTAGACCAAGAATGGGGAGAGGCAGGAGTGGCCCCTCCCCATGCTGCTGGCCCCAAAGCCACCTCTCATTAATGCAGTGCTCCCTGAGGGGCTGGGTGGCTGGGCTCTGTCTCTGCCACAGCCAGCCCTCCCCTCCCTGCCCCCCAGGAGCCTGTGCCCAGCTTGGAGAAAGGCTCTATTGTCCTCAGTTGTGCCCCACCCTGAGCACCTTGAGCTCCTCTGCAGGGTGTGCGGCTTGTGGTTCCCTCTGCCTTGACTGGGAGCAGAGACAGAGGGGGGGCCATGAGCTGCTCGTGTGGGAGAATGCATGGGATGTGGAGGGCCAAGGCCAGGCCTTTCCTGGCCCTGTTCTCCACGAGCCCAGGGGATTTCAGCAGAGCCCCAATCCTGGCTTTCCTCATGGCTGTTCTAAGGTTGTCTTTCTCCTGGGACAGCCAAGGTGCCCACCGGTGGCAGGTTGGCAGCATGATTTTGTACAAAGGATGCAGGTTCCAATCCTGGTTCCTCCACTTCCTTGGAATGGTCTTGGGCATGTTGTTCCCTACCTGCGATGAGCCTCCATTCCCTTAAAACGGGATAATGATACCCACATGGTGATTATGATGGATGTCCTGCAGCTAAACCAGCAGAACTGTGGCATAGAATACTCAGTCTTTCTGTTCTTGATGGTCAGCAAATAATATTTGTTCAGCATCTGGTAACACACTGGTAAGCATGGACCAAGCTAATTTCCAAGTTGCCTCCTGTGCCCTGTCCACTCTTTGAACTCCATTGCAACCAGTTCTCTGAATTAATTCCCTCTGTGGAACCACCTGGTGTAAGCTCTTGGGCTGCCTGGACCCTGACTGAGGCAGGCTTTAAGGCCCAGAGTCTCATCCTGGCTATTTAGCCTAGGAGTTGGCCCAGAGGCACAAAATTAACAGAAAAGAAAGTACCATTTTTGGGGGGCAGCCTAGTGGGAGACCCCTGCCAAGGAAGAGCCAGGGCTTGTCCCCATCTAAGTTCAGAGCCTGGGGCTCCAGGTCTAAGGCAGCCTGTCCAGGACTCTTGCTCCTGTGGATAGAGCATCTGGGGAGCAGAGCTGTCTCTCAGATGTCTGACGCCTGCTCTCTTCCCACAGTTGGCAATCCTAGAAGACTATGCGGACCCGTTTGATGTCCAGGAGACTGGTGACGGCCTAGTAGGGGCTTCAGGAGCCCCAGAGAAGGTCCCGGAAAACGATGGCTACATGGAGCCCTATGAGGCCCAAAAGATGATGGCCGGTGAGTGATAGAGTAAGGGAGAGTGTTGCGGGAAGTTGTTCCCTGAGGCTTGGGTATCTGCAAAACAAGCTTTGCCACCCACACATCTTAAGAACTGATTCCTTGGTCTCTAGAAAATATGGAGAATGCCTTTGCTGGGTCCTCAGGGAAGGTGACCACTACTTTCAAGATAGTCACTTTGGAGAAGGAGCTGTGATTTGTGGTACCTGAGACCTGAGGTGGTAGAGAAGCCACACAAGCAAAGGTCAGACAGATGGAAGCATTTGGGGTAGTGAGGAAGGGCAAGATAGTGGTGTGGGCTGGGGGGGTCACTAGTCCCTAAAAGAGAATCACTAGCTTTAGAGAAGGTGGTAAGTTTGAAACGATGTTATGACAATTGGAAACGCATGACTATATAAATGCAGATGCAATGCCCATGATGCTGGGCAAGTAGTTGAAGGAGTGAGGGCAGGAAGAAATGGATGAGCCTGGCTCTGGGGAGCAGAGACCAATAAAGGGCCCAGGGAAAGACCAAATCGGGGCAAGCAGACAGGAGGACAGGGGTGAGTCAGTCTAAGCCAAGGTCCCAAGGCAGGATGAAAGGAAGATATGTTCACAGGAGAGGCAAGATGAGAGAGGCCAAGAGGGGCATTGATAGGCCTTAAAGGCTGGAATGAGGCATTTGGACTTGCTCCAAAAGGGGAAGGGGAGCCATTATGGATTCTTGAGCAAGAAAGCAACAGGACAAATAAGGCATTTTAAGAGGATTACAGAGGCTTTGGTGTACAGAACAGACTAGAAGAACTGGGCATCAATCAGAAAGATGAGTTAGCAGGCTGTTGTGGAAATTACTGAGGCTTTACAGAACCAATAATTAACACCCTTTTCTTCCCCTCTGGAGCTTGGAAATAATTGAGAAATAAGATCAAGGAAACAGAAAATGGAGATAACAATGTCAGTTTTCTTACTGATAAAAGTGATTGGAGAACATTACTTAGCTATGTCACTACAATGGGCTTCTTAAGACTTCCCCACAGAATTAAACTTGCCCACTCAGGCTTGGGCAACGTAGCATGACTTTAGGCCCTTGCCCCTTTAGGGCAGGAGGAAAAAGAACCAGAATGTTCTCTCTGTGTAAGAAAGCAGATCAGATAAACTGCTCGCCCTCCTTGGAAGAGGTGGGAGACGGGCAGAGGGCAGTCAGGAGTGTTATTCCATGGAGCCAATGAGACAAAAGCCTGAAGAATGGAGGTTCGCCCTAGTAGTAATCTAGATGTGGAGAGATGAGGGTGAGACTCATCAGGCAATGGCAATGACAGATGGGACTCAGACAGTGAAGGAGGGCCAGGACCAAGGAGAGCAGTATAGTAGACAGAAATGGAGACAGTGGGAGGGTGGCTACCATATTTAGATCAGAGGGGTGTGGCCCCCTAGGACAGCAGTCGCCAACCTTTGGACCTCATGGACCACCAGTGGTCCGCAGACCACTGGTTGGCGACCGCTGCCCTAGGAGGCCCATGAGTGCCCTGGGATTGATGAGAAAATCTGCACATAGGGGGAGCTCCATAGCTTTTATCAGTTCCACTGGGGTCAGAGATCTCAAAAAGAAAATCACAGAAGAGACTAGAAGAACATTCGGGGAGAGTGGGGAGTTTGAAACATCGAACTGAAACATCTTTATGGCAACTAGAAACATAGATGCAAAGGGTTCGACTGGACAAGTAGTGCAAGGATGAGGCCTGGGAGAAATGAATGAGACTTGGCCTTGCGAAACAGAGACCAAGAGAGGATCCAGTAAAAGAGACCAAATGGGAGGACAGTCCATGAAGGGGACAGATTCAAGGATGGGGTGGTCAGCAGTGTCTGACCATCCCAATATGGCAACAAAGGATTGTCATATTGTGAATGGTATCACTTGGGACACAAGGAAAAAATGGAGTTGGGTAGCAAGGAGATGGACTAGGAGAGGACCCTGACTTGGTTTCCTAAATGTGTAAGCCTCAGCTCCCCAGCCCTTGCTGGCCATCGCAGGATCCTTTTTCTGTCTTTCATTCGGGTGCCGCTGCCCCTGCCTCTGTTGGGTCCCATGCTTTTGGAACCCCAGAGGTATTTTGAGGGAGAGGGACCCTGTATGTGTGCCCCAGAGCCACCGGCATCTGTGAAGGAAGCCTGCCTGGTTGCTGGGAACACTGCTGGGGGCTGAGCCAGGCAGCCAGGCTCTCACGCCTCCCTCCTGCTTGCCCTGGTAGAGATCCGGGGCTCCAAGGAGACGGCCACTCAGCCCCTGCCTCTGTATGACACACCCTATGAGCCAGAAGAGGAGGGGGCCACCCCTGAAGGTGAGGGGGCCCCTTGGCCCCGGGAGTCCCGCCTGCCTGAGGATGATGAGAGGCCGCCCGAGGAGTATGACCAGCCCTGGGAGTGGAAGAAGGAGCGGATTTCTAAAGCTTTTGCTGGTGAGTCCTGGGCAGAGAGGGCAGGTCCGCTGGGGCCTCTGGGCAGCTTTTTGGGCTCAGGGGAGTGAAGGAGAGGCACCCTGGGAGGGGAGGCCCAGGAGGGAAGTGTAGTTGAGTCTCTACCATGGAGCTGTGAGTTGGCAGGTGGACAAGGCGCTGTGTGCAGAGTCAGGGTGTGGGCACAAGAGGATGAAGGCGTCTCCCTGCATCACCACCTCCGACGCCCAGAGGCTGGGGCCACTTCCACCTTTTGGGGGACTGGGTATATTTAAAAATAAAGAAGTTCCAAACAAAATTATAAAACTTGTGGCATATGTTAAATACTTAACCAAAGAGGGCATTAACCCTCCAAACAATGCAAACAGCTGCCTCTGTAACCGTTAGAGAAACCAACCCTGAGTGAGCGGCTGTGTCTCCCAGTGGTAGGCCACGCGGACCAGGGGTGCCTACCCCCCGAGGGGTTTCTGAGAAATCCCTGTCAACGAGTGAGGGTAGGTTTCCTCTGTACCGAGCACCCCAGTGGTAGGCCACGCGGACCAGGGGTGCCTACCCCCGAGGGGTTTCTGAGAAATCCCCGTCACTGAGTGAGGGTAGGCTTCCTCTGTACCGAGCACCCCAGTGGTAGGCCACGCGGACCAGGGGTGCCTACCCCCGAGGGGTTTCTGAGAAATCCCCGTCACTGAGTGAGGGTAGGCTTCCTCTGTACCGAGCACCCCAGTGGTAGGCCATGCGGACCAGGGGTGCCTACCCCCCGAGGGGTTTCTGAGAAATCCCCGTCACTGAGTGAGGGTAGGCTTCCTCCGTACCGAGCACCCCAGTGGCCATCCCAGGCCTGGAGTCTGACATGGAGAGGTGTGTGTGGGTGGTTTGAGTTGGGGGTAGGGGGCACAAGAGCTTTAACTCCTGGATCCTTGATTCAGTGAGGACATAGAGGACTTAAATGCCATTAGACTCCCTTTTCGTTCCCATGTCCCTCTTACTCCTCCTTGGGCAAGAGGCTCATCTTGGAGCTGGACCCAGGTCTTTGCTCTGTGGGGAGGCCCACCCTGGCAGCCAGACTGAGAAACCACAAGGTGTCTCATTTGTTTCCTGTAAAGCGCGCACCACTGAGGATGGGCCGCTTATCTCCAGAAGTCTCCTTGGAGAATCAATACTGTTTGGCTTGCTTAATGGGAAAATCTATGCTCGTCATTAGGAAACCTTGTTAGCAGTCCTGGCGCCGCCCGTGGCATCACTCTTCTCATTGTCAGGGCTTGGGATTTAGGGTGTGGGGGGCAAGTTTCACTAAAACATCTGCCCCCACATCTGAGTATCCCTGACAACCTGGGTGGGGCTGTCTCAGCGAGGCGGTGGGGAAAGGAGGGATGGAGGAGGCTGAGGGAACCTGGGGGTGGTGCTAGGAGATGTGGGCAGCTCCTTATCCCTCTTTTCCTCCTTTCCTGGCCCCTCTGGTTCCCGGAAGCTTGTGAGGTCAAATGAAGGGGATCCGCAGGGCTGACAGCAAGACCCTGCTTTTGCCACCTGAACCTCCGACCTTTGACCCTGCCAGCCCAGGGTGGTCAGTATGGCTCCACCCGGCCCTCTGAGAGTCCTGCTCCCCATTCAGAAGCCGCCCCTGCCTCCACTCTGACCCTCCTCCTCTCTAGGCTGTCCTGTGTCCTGGCTCTGGGTTTTGGTATCTCAACCTCTGCCTCTCTCTGTCTCTGTCCCTGTCCCTGTCCCTGCCTGTCTCTCTCCTCCCTGCTGTGCTACTGGTTCCAGTTGACATTAAGGTCATCAAAGACCTACCTTGGCCTCCACCGGTGGGACAGCTGGACAGCAGCCCCTCCCTGCCCGACGGGGACAGGGACATCTCCGGTCCAGCCTCACCCCTCCCCGAGCCCAGCCTGGAGGATGGCAGCGGTGGGTCCTGTCGGGGCTTCTGGCCAGGGTGACGTGTCCTCTCATCCCTCGGGCCCTGGGGGCTTGGGTTGGAGGAGCCACGAGGTGGGGCATGGTTTGAAGGACCCAGGAGCAACCCCTCTCTTCTGCGGAAGAAGGAAGGGAGAAAGTACACACCTCCCGCTCCCTCCCCAAACGTGGGGAAGGTGTCTCCCAAGGGAAATCCCCTGGAAACCCACTCTTCTAAATCCACTTCTTTGGGTTGCGCTTTGCCTGGCCCGACTTCAGCAATGCAAACAACTCCTGAGATGGGGGAGACTAGCTTGCACAGCAAGTGTGTAGCTAGCTCCTCAGATAAAGGAAAGGGTCTGCTCCTTGCATTTGGTGTCTGAAAGATAATAAGGGCTTGAAAGTGCTACAAGGAGAGAAAAATAGTCCAAATGGGGAGAAAGAAGGCACCGAACACCTCATCTACGTTCAGTTTTACCCAGAATGGGCAGTTGAGGGGAGTGGGAGGCGGTGCATCTCTGCACGTGCACAGAGGCCTGAGCACTGTTGGTACATGTGTGCCCGAGTGTGAGTGGGTATTTTGTCAATACAGGATGTCACCTGTGCATGTGTGCCTCTGTCCATGTGGTCTGCTGGCTTCAGCTGCCCCTGTGCAGGCTCAGCAGTCAGGTCTGCCCTGGTCTGGGAGGGCAGAGCCCCCTCTACTGGGTTTCTGTCGGGGTGGGGAGGGGAGTCTGTGGGCAGCGACCTTGGGAGCGGGGGAGGGGCGGACCGGCTGGCGGCTTTGGGCAGGATTAGCCTGTCAGGATGGCACCAAGGGGAATCAGATAATTGTCCTCAGATCGATAAGTCATTTCTACAGAATGGCTTGGCAGGGTGATTTGGAGAACGGTAATGAACTCTGAGGAGGAGAAAGAAACAATATTATCAGCACTGAAGCCACCCCGAGGAGGATGGAATAGGGGAAGGCAGTCAGCAGCTCCCCAGGGAGAAGCTTAAGTGGTTCCTCTTGTTGCTCCTCTCCCCTCTTCTCCCACCGGGTGGGGACTGGGAGGCCCTGTGTGGCACCGGAGGGCTGAGCCCCACCTTCACCTCCACCCCTGCCCCTCCTGGGGGATGGACCCAGAATTCCATCCCTAGAGCCAGTCAGGCCCATGAGCATGTCCAGGAAATGGGGGTGGGGTACTGGCTATTCTATAGGGCTCTACTTCCAGGGTCCTCAGTGGCTGTGACTGGTATGTTCCCCACAGCCCAGTTTGAAGGATCTGAGAAGAGCTGCCTGTCACCCGGCCTGGAGGAGAAGGGGCGTCTACCTCCCCGACTCTCTGCAGGGAACCCCAAGTCAGCCAAACCCCTAAGCATGGAGCCCAGCAGCCCCCTGGGGGAGTGGACAGACCCAGCACTGCCTCTGGAAAACCAGGTGTGAGTGTCTGTGTCCAGCTGGGGACTCGCCCCTCTCCTTTCCCTTCCTAGCACTTGCCTGAGGGGACACCCCGAATGGGTGGGCCCGGTCAGCGAGGGACCCAGCAGAGATGCTCCCCTTCCTCTCTCTCATCCGCAGCTGGTACCATGGGGCCATCAGTCGAACAGATGCCGAGAACCTGCTCCGGCTGTGCAAAGAGGCCAGCTACCTGGTGCGCAACAGTGAGACCAGCAAGAATGACTTCTCCCTGTCCCTCAAGTGAGTGGGGCTGGCTGGCTGGCAGTTTTAGACAGGATTAGCCTGTGAGGGTGGCACCAAGGATAATCATTGGGAGGACAACCGCCAGCACAGGAGGAGACCCTAATATTCTCAGGCCCAGCCAAGCTGGGGAGAACCCCATCCCCCATGAACCTTTGCCGACTCTGGGCCACACTCTAAAGGTCTGAGCTCAGCCCCTGCTCTCAAGGAGCTCATAGTTTCTCGGGGGAAATAGTTAAGCTGTTGTCCAGTTCAGAAGGGTTCTGTCCCTTACTAGCTGTGTGGCCTTTGGTCCCCTTAATCTCTCTGGGCCTCAGTTTCCTTAACTTACAAAGTGAGGGAATAATATCTACTTTATAGGGAATGATTAAATGTATGTGAAGTACTTGCCGTGGTGCTAAGTGCCCAATAAATGTCACCATCATCATCATTAATGGAAGTCGGATATGTTCTAATAGCACAGGCAAGGAGATAGGAACTTTGCCTGAAAGGATCTACAGGGTGAGATGGAGGCTGGGTCCTGGGAGGAGGACAGGGCTGTGGACACAAAGCTATTCTTACTCTGAAGAAGCAGACAGGAGGTCTGGTTGCTGGTGGCTGACAACTGAGCTTTAAAGATCCTGGAAGAGGCCAGGGAGGTTGGCCCTCCCTTCCCATCAGCCCTCCTCCCTGGGAGCAGATACACAGGCCAGGATTGGCTTCCCAGGCTCTCCTGGTGGGATGGCAAGTCCTCTCCTTGGCACAGGAGTGCCCCCTGGTAGAGCCTGTACTCCACAGGACTGCCTGTCAGAGCGGTGTGTCCATTCACCCCCCTTCCCCCGCCACTACTGGAGCATCTATATCACCTTCTACCACATTTTCTGGGTGCAATAGAATATAGATATACCCGCACTTCAAACAAATCCAATATATGGAAATTTGGGACTACTAAAAAGATACATTTGAAGATAATTATTCAACTTCACTAAAAGATAATGAAGAAAATAAAAGCCAGACTATAGTCATAACCTGAGTTTTATTCTCGGGTTTAATAAAATTAGCTATGTGACCCAAGGCAACCTTAACCCCTCTGGGCCTTGGTTTCTCCATCTGCAAAATGGAGAATGGTTACTTCTTAGGTTTCTTCCCGCTCTCATACTCTGGGAGTCTGCAAATTATCATAACATCAAAGGAGCATTTGGGAAAAATTTGTCAAAAATGTGATTTACATAACTTCCGGAATGTGTATTCCTTTAAAAATTGTAGTTAAGATTCATAGAGCATATACTATATGCCAAATAGCAGCGTATACACCATCTCTTAAACCAACTAGCATCCTGCAAAACCAATTTCTTTTTATAAACAAAAATAGATTCAAAGAGGTATGACTTGCTCAAGGCCATCAGCTAATAAAGTTCTAAGAGCAGAATTTTTTAAAAATATATTTTTACTGATGTGAGAGAGTGAGGGAGAGGGAGACCGAGATAGAAACATCAATGATGAGAGAGAATCATTGATTGGCTGCCTCCTGTACGCCCCCCTACTGGGGATCGAGCCCGCAACCCAGGAATCAAACTGGGGACCCTTCAATCCACAGGCCAATGCTCTATCCACTGAGCCAGACTGGTTAGGGCCAAGAGCAGGATTTGAATCCAGCTCAGTCTGACTCTAATAACTACACAGTTCCTCCATTGCACAGCTCCACCCCTCAAGTCTGGAACAGTCTAAGGCAAGTGGAGACTGCAGGGGTCTGGCTCCCTAGCAGAGCACGGCAGAACACAGCCCTGCCTTAGTCTGGGGTGTAAAGGGGGAGGCACGTCTGGACGCCTGGCTCCAGCCCTGGCTGATCTGGCCCCGCCAGCAACTGTCTGCCAGAGCCTCGTTCACATATAAATGGCTTTTCTGAAACACAATTATGGTTTCTCTTCTCTCTGTAATGGAAGGGCTTTCATTGGTAATTAAACAGCTTCCTCCACAAGTCAAGCCAGCCCTGGCTCTGCTTCCCAGCTAGTCCCTCCCCGGCCCCCGGAGGGTCTGGCACGGGTTCTGCTGTGTCCTAATGGACCCTTAGGACTTTGTCCCAGGAGGTCATTTATCTAGATGGAGGCTGAGCTCTCAGCTTCCAACTCTGGTCTCTGGCTACTTGTTGCCCTGCTTGCCCAGATCTGTCCCCCAAAGAGAAGATATAATGCACAGGTGTTAGGAGAGGTGATGTTCCCAAGTGGACTGTGGGAAGGGAGCCATCCCCAAACTGCGAGAGGGTGAGGGAAGGCAGGGTCCACGCTGCTGCCCACAGCCTCCCCTTTCTACAGTCCCCAGGGGCTGTGCATTTTCCTGAGGCCCTTGGCTCCTTTCCCAGGGCCTGTGTGGTCACCAACAGCCTCAGCAGTTATCTCAGACCAACAGATGAAGGATGGCCCCACGCCCTGACACACACACCCAGAACTGGGCTTCCAGCAGGCTTTGGGGCCCTGTACCCTGGGGAGGGAAGGATGGAGTTAAGGGCCTATGTTTTCCTCCCATCCCTTTACTCTCTTCAGTCACCCCACTCTCCCCGCTTTCTAACTGCTGGGCCTAGTGAAATGGGTCCAGAGACCTCTTTTAACCCAGGCAGGGGAGGCAAGCGAGGAGGTATTCCAGCTTCGCCTCTCAAGAGCAAGGGCCTCACAATGAGTCCTGCCTCCCACACCTGCTTCTGAGCCCTGTCCTTGTCCCCAGGTAGGCTCTGACCAGCAGGGCTCCCCTAAGCAGTGCTGACCACTTGCCGGTGAGTGGGTTTTAGACCTGGGGCCTGGACTGTAGTAGTTTGGACAAATGTTGTTCTTGCTGGGGCCCCACCCTAAGGCTGAGGGTGCCCAGACATCTGGGAGACTGCCAGAGCTGGGGGAATGGGGAGGACGGGGAAGGGGGGAGAGAGGATATGGGGGGAGCACAGAATGCAGGGGATAGGGTCCTTGTCTTGTGGTCAGGGCCAGGCAATACTGCTGACTTCCTTTCCTAGATTGTGCCAGGAGATGGGAGAGGCAGTGGAGCATGTCCTCTCTGAGGAGGGCATGGAGCTGTAGCCTCACCCATGACGTCAGCCCAGGCTGAAGGGCTGGATGGATGGGCTGGGTGCTTGGCTCAAGGCCAGTTAGCAGGAGGGTGAAGGGATGTCCCTAGGACAAGGTGGCTGGCTCTCCCCAGATTTGGGGAGCAGCTCACCTCCTCCCCTAGTATCTGCAAGAGAGAGCCCGAACCAAGATTCTCTTGGTTGTCACATCCACCCACCACTACTGCCCTGCCAAGGGTGTCTGTGTCTCCACGGGAGTGACCAAGAGCCTCACTGGTGTCCTCCCCACAGCTCAGAAAGGGGGATGGGTAAACTGGTCCTGGCCACATAGGCTGGAAGGCAGGAGTGCCTGGATACCAGGGTTTGGGGTGGGGGCGAGGGGTGTTGGTCCCTCCAGTTTCCACCTGTACACACCCTGTACACTCACTACAAGCACATTCTTGGCACACCCTGTGCCCTCACCACAAAGCCAATACCTACTGCTACCTACTCACAAAATCCCCTCCGCCCCCTCCCTGCTTTCTGGACTGACCTCCATCTTCCACAGCCACCTCCACTCTCTGCTGGTTTGGAACAAGACATTGGCTGCAGGGTTGGGGGAGGGAGGGGACTGGAAGGGGCCCCCACTCACCAGGGTCTCCTCTCCTCTTCCCAGGAGCAGTCAGGGCTTCATGCATATGAAGCTGTCTCGGACCAAGGAACACAAGTATGTGCTGGGCCAGAACAGCCCGCCCTTCAGCAGCGTCCCGGAGATCGTGCACCACTACGCCAGCCGCAAGCTGCCCATTAAGGGGGCTGAGCACATGTCCCTGCTCTACCCCGTGGCCATCCGGACTCTGTAGGTGTGAGGCTTGGGCACTGCGACAGATCTGGACCCAGTCCTGTGCCCGTCCCCTGGCTGCGGGCTGTGGTCCTTCCCAGGGCCGTGATCTCCCCCCAAGCCTTTCTTCCCCTCTCCCTGGGATGGAGTGGAAACTGGAGATTCCTTAATTTATTCGAAAGAGTAAAGGCTATGGGGCCTTGGAGGAAGCGGAGGTCTGGAGCTGAGGAGAGAAGAACCCCTGGGGAGAAAGGGCAGCCCCTGGAGGAAGGGGGCTTCCAAACCCAGAGTCTCCCCGAAGAGTTTAAGATCCGCAGCTGCAGGCCCTTTCCGCCTCTGGGGCAGAGGTGGCAACCTACTTCCCCTCCGCCTCTCCCCCCGGGTCAGTACGAGGCGGAGCAGGATGCAGTCCCGCAGGGCACCCTGACCTCTCCCCCTCCGCCCCCAAACGATCGGCAGACCCCTGGGGTGGAGGTGGCATTGGGGCGGGAGAGGCGGGAAAGGGATCCGGACGGAGGGGACGGAGGGGACGGAGGGAATTCGTGCGGTCCCCCGGCGGTTCTGGCTCCCGGCCAGAGGCAATAAATAAACCCAGTGCTGCCAGGCACTGCCGCGTCTGCGCCTTCCGCGCCGCACCCGGGGCTGACGGGTGGGGAGCGGCGAAGCGAGCACAGATCCGATTTTAAATCAGCTCTGGAGCAGTCACAGGCCGGCTGTGAAAAGCGCTTTGGAAGCATCAAGTTCCTTCCTTTGATGAGATATCAAAACATCCCCCACTGCCCCCGCCCCGGCTGGGTGAGGGGGGGCGGGGGCCGGAGCCGGCCGGCCTCGTGGCGCCCCCTCCCCGCCGCGCCGACGAGCCCGGCTTCCAGGAGCGCGTCCAATTTCCTGCCTACAGCCATTTGTCTGGAGGAGGGGAGCCGCGGAGAGACAAAGAGGCAGCGCGCCAGGCGGGAGGAGCGGGTGGCCCTGCCACGCGGAAGCCGCGCGCCGCGAGCTGGGAAAGCTGGCACAGCCCACTGCGTTTCCTTTCCAGAGGAAGCGGGCCCTGCCGCCGCCTCCTCCATTCACTGAAGGATGGGTTCGCCCCGCGACCTGCTGCCTGCAGGCCTCGGTCCGGATCTGCCACCCGCTGCTGCTCACGGCCGAGGCCGGCAGGGGGGCCGTCCGCGCGCGCCCTCTGCTGGCCGTGCCCTTAACTGCGGGACCCGGGCGCGGGATCACACCAGCCGGTGGCCCCCAATGCGCCCCTGCTGCAAACCGCCGAGGCTTGTGGGCCCAGCTCCCGGCTATACCCTTGGGCCACCAGGCAGGGCTGCTGTCAAGCTACTCCAGGCCTGCCCTCCTGCTCCCCTGGGCAGGCTGAACAAAAACTCTACGAGGGGCTGAACACACACCCTGGCGATGGCTGCCTTGGGAGGACAGTCTGAAGACCTCCAGAACCTATATCTGCAGTTCCAAAGTGTGATGTGAATCATGAGATTTTGGATGTTCTAATCCAGTGGTTAATTTATCAGGGATCGGGCGGAGGATATGAGATCTGACAAATGTAAGAATTCTGTGGAGACAATAGAAAGAATCACTTGAAGTTGGGCACTGCTTCAGAAATTCCCTCAGAGAGGGTTGCCCTCTCTTTAAGTAGACTTGGAGGGCATTCAGTCATTTTGTAGATGCAAAAACAGCTCCAAAAAGGTTAGGTGATGTGCTCATCTATCTCCTTGCTATCATCTCACTACCTAGAGCTCAGAGAAGGACTAGGAGTAACAGGTCCTGGAGCAGGCCAGGCCAACTCTGCCTCCCTGTGGGCTCCTGGGTGTCTCGGCCCCTATCCCACACCCCTTGTGCCCAGTCCACCTTCTCCAAAACCCCTCACACCTCGCCCCCTCCTGACCAGGCTTCAGAAGACTCACACTCGCCACTCAGAGAGGCCCTCTGTCAGGAAGGGTGCCCTTGAGCAGGGGAAGGGGTCTCTAGCTGGTGTGCTTGGCCTGGACGGGTTCCTTTATTCAGAGGATACTAGCAAGCTCAGAGAATGTCTGCATTGGCCTGTTAGCCGGCCGGTTGAGTGGCTTCTTCTGCCAGTGCTTACCCCATCCTGGGGCAGAATAAAGCAGCCCAGGGGGCAGAAAAGTGGTTTATTTGTAGAGGAGGCTATGGAACAAGAAGAGCAGAGAATGTCTGAAGAGCACTACATAGAGAGATATTGAGCCAGGTTCTGACTACAGAGCCTGTTTAAGAACTTGGGAGAGAAGATCAATTGTGCTGTTAAACTGAGGTGCTGAGAGATTTCCTATAAATTTCTCTCTGGGGTCCAGCCTCTGTCCCCTTGAAGGCATTTGCCAGCCCTTTTGATAGTGGAAAGCCCAGAAGAAGGGGAGGACTTAGGGGAGGAGTTCTAAGACGCCAGCATTTGTGCTCCCACTTCATCCTTAGGGTCACAGCCCCCTATACACACGCACGCGCACACACACACACACACACACACACACACAACTTACCACTTGTCAGCCCCAGTCTTTTGAAATTTTTCTTAGTTTGGAAGAAGAGCTGTCATTTTGCCCCCAAAACAATAGCTCCCAACCTCTAGTCCCCGGACAGTGCCTCCCACTTCTCCAGGCTGAGACTATGAGTCTGGGGTCCCTGAACCCACATGCGGTGACTGACCATGGCCACCCGGACCAAGGTTGGCAGGTGGGAGTGGGGAGAAGGCGAGGGAACCAGAAACAGGAAGTACAGAGGTGAGGCGAGGTGTGACCCAAACCTCTGCTCAGCAGGCAGTGGGTGGAGCCCCTGGGCAGGAGGCCTAGAAGTTCTCGTAATGGTGGGAGAAATGAGTCCGGTCCTGCCTGTTAATGAGCTGACAGGCTTTTTCCACATTCTTGGTCATGCCAGGGGGGCCACAGCTGAACACCCCAATCTTCCGGACCTGTTGGGGAAGGAAGAAGTGAAGGCTAGCTCAGTGTTCGGAGGGAGGGCTAGCTCAGGGTCCATGTTAAAGCCATGAAGAGTCTCCTGATGAGGGCTCATTCCACGTTCCTGTGAAAGTTTGCTTCTACCATGCCTGGTGAGGGCCAGCTTGGTGTTTTTAAATCCAACTTGATTTTAGTAGACCTTCTCTCGGTGGGTCCAGCCTCTACCCCTTCCAAGCATTTGCCAGCTTCAAGTGCAAGCTTCAAGAGCAGTTTCCGATATGGGGCTGGGTTAATCAATGTTCGAGTTGAGGGATAGCTTAGTGTCTCATTAAGGGCTCACCCAGTGCTTATGAGAGCAGTGGCTTGCTCAGTGTTCATGGTGAAGATCAGCTCAGTGTCCAGGATGAGGCCTGGCTCAGCATTAGTGTGAAGGGTAGCTCTGAGTTTATGGTGAGGACTAGCTCAATCATTGAGCTCTTCCTTCTGAACAAGGAAGGCATCATGGCTTCAGAAGTGGCAAGTCCCTGTTGCCTGCCTCCCCACTTCCCCCTCAGGGTGACCCCCTCTTCTCCTTTCCCATTTCGTTACCCCACCAACTTCCCAGGGGGTGATGGGTTCTCATCGGCAGTCAATAGCTTCCCTGATGGAGCAGGTTTGGGAGCTTTGCTCAGAGGATAAACTGAAGAGACCCTGGATGGGGGGCGGGGGAACTGACCTGTGGGTGAACCTCCTGCAGGGAGTTGAAGAAGGGCTCAAAGGGGGGGCGACCAAAGTGGGTGACAGAGCGCAGGCCCGTGAACAGACTCCGGTTAAGCACCTTCTGGAAGTGCCGCTCACAGATGTACTAGGGGCACAGGGGCAGGTCAAGACAAGGACAATCAGGGTCAGCCCAAGCCAACCCAAAGCCTGGGTTGGGAAGGGAGCTGGAGGCTGAGTATAGAAGCCACTTGCTCTGTGCCTCCTGCCAACCCTCCCTGGCCATCCTGCCTTACCCTGCTAACCCACTCAACCACTGAGCTACCCTGCCTGGCCGGCCCTGACGTACCAGCATGGTGGTCCTGAGGTCGAACTTCTCAGCCAGCTGGGTGATGTAGATGTGCACGGACACCAGGTCCTGGTGGTCATTCTCCTCCACCTCCCGGATGATGTCAGCCAGCCACTCGAACTGCCGCTGGGTCCGTGTCACCCAGATGAAGTAGATCTGGGGACAGGGCTGGAGCTTAGGGCCCAGCTCAGCTCAGGCTCCTTATACCCCAGGGATTTGCACACCAATAGAACTCTTTTGGCCAGCGGGTGCCCCTCTCCAGATATCCTGGGGAATGGAGTGTAGGGGGCCACAGGGCCAGGCTCTGGAGCAGGACATGGAGTTGCCCCAGGGCATGGAGAAGTGCAAGTAAGTGACAGCCTGGGGCACCTGACGGTCTGAGCCTATCCTGCCACTCTCTCCAATGTGCCCTCCTTAGGCCCAGAAGGAGAGGGTACCACTAAAGGGCTTGTCACAGAACATCTTCAGGGAAGACCCAGCTGGCTGTCTGGAGGGGATGGGAATGGACTCAGAGACCAGGGGGATGGAAACTTCCCTAGGAGAACCCATCTCCAGCTTCTGATGGGGGAAAGTGGGACTGTTTGGGTTAAGAATCAGAGGCAGCCTGGCCAGTGTGGCTCAGTGGTTGAGCGTCGACCTATGCAGGAGGTCACAGTTCAATTCCCAGTCAGGGCACATGCCTGGGTTGCAGGCTCAATCTCCAGTGGGGGGTGTGCAGGAGGCAGCCAATCATGATTCTCTCTTACCATTGATATTTCTATCTCTCCCTTCCTCTCTGAAATCATATATATATATATATATATATATATATATATATATATATATATATATATAATATAAATTATTTTTTTCCAAAAAGGAAGCACAGGCAGAGCTAGCTTGGACAGAGGAGCAGAGAACTGTCTGTCACCTCTGAATGCTGACAGCATATGGGCTGGGCCTCTGCCTGCTGCATTCCTGCACTCCTGACTCACCTGCCAGGCCTAGAGAGACAAGCAGGGGCCTGCCACAAGGTGCAGGCTGGGGTGAAGGGGCCTGGCATGGAGGGGTCCTGAGGGCCTGGGCTGTGTGCCTGGAGCCAGCCGTGCCCATCAGCCCTGCCTACCACCTCCTGTTCTCTTACTCTTGAGAGCAAAGCCAGTTTCACCTGTGCCCCACCCCAAGCGTGCCCTTCCTTCTCCCAGCCCGACAATGCCCCAAGTGCTAGCTTTCCCTGTAGGAGGGGAGTTTCTTCACCTTTCTCCAGCCTGCCTGGAGGGATTCCCTGTGTGGGGTGCTTCATAACTGAGGGAAGGAGCTCAGGGGCATCAACAAACTAACTCTGTCCTTTAGGATCTGCGGATATCCTGCCCACCCCACCCCAGCCCACCCAGGGCCAGGCCAGCTTGGCCTTGCCTGGACTAGGGAGACCAAGAACAGAGGCAGGAGAGCCAGCACAGATGGACGCAGTGATCATGAACAAGGGACATGGGCTGGGGGGCACTTACCTTCTTACAGAACACTTGATAGCTGACTGACGACTTGAAGACCAGGTCTTTGAGGATAGAGGCAAAGGGGGTGACCCCAATGCCCCCTCCTACCAGCACTGACACCTCAAACTTATGCCATTCCTGGTGGCCCTCTCCAAATGGCCCATCGAGGTACAACTGCAGGGACAAGAGTGGGTGTGAGTTAAGCTCTCAGCTACCACCACAGTTCTGAAGCCAGAAATGAGAGGCAAGAAAAAGCAGGTAGGTTAATGGAGTGAGGGGGGAGGGGGACTGTGGCTTTATCTGGGACAGCCAGTCTCTGGATGGAGGAGGGAGGAGCACAGTGGGCGTCTGGTGCTGCAGAGTCGAGGCCTACTAAAGGGCTGTGGGAGCATGTGGCACATCTGGCCTGGGTCTGGGCACCTTCGGGTAGCTGGCACAGCCGTTGGTCGGGGGTGAGTAGATCTCCCTGAGGCGAGTGGTCCAGGGCCCTGCCGCCCGGATGTGCAGGCTGAGCGTGTCCTCATGGGGCGCAGAAGTCAGTGTGAAGGGGTGGTACTCGGTGGTCCCCAGAGCCAGGCAGGCGATCCGCACCCACTGTCCTGACTTGTACTCAAAGCCTTGAGGCCGCTGGAACTGCAGGTGGGTCACCCCTGAGGAGGGGAGGTGGGCGTGAGGCTGCTGTCCTGAACCCAGCAACAGTGTGGTCTCCAGAGAGTTCCCCAACTACAGCCTCAGCCCTGCTCTGGAATATGCCAGGGACCTCCCCCCATCAGACCTCATTACTCCCCTCAGGCCCTGTCTGCCCTGAGGAGGGGCTGGTGGTCAGCAGGGCAAGGAACAGCCTGGCCTGGGCTTCTCCTCTCTGTTGTGAAAGAGGCTCAGGGCCCCTGGCAAAGAGCTTCTTTTACCAGCTCCCTCATCCCTTCCACCCCAAGGCCCCTGCCAACTCCACGGGGCCAGGCTAGGAGACTGCAAGGTCCAGGCTCTGCTTTGCTTCCCAGTCCCACCAAGCTGGGCCCCTGACAGCCTCTTGCTGGTACCTGAAGGCAGCAGCTCGGCCTTCACCACGCTGATCTCCACCTTCTTCCGGCTCAGGCTCACCAGCTTGTCCCCCCCGTAGATTAGTGCCGGGACCAGGAAGAAGATGTGGAAACGGGGCAGCTGGACCAGAGCGAAGCTGCCGTGGATGATGAGCTGAATAGAGTGAAGGATACCGCTCAGACCTGGCCACATCCACAACAGGATCTGAGGCTGGTTCAGGGCTTAGACCCCTATATCATTCCTCACTGGCATGTCCACGCCTCACCTCACCATGTGCCATGCTCCTTTCAGGTTCCAAAACCGAACCATTCCCAACCCCATCCTCCAAAGCATCCTTGACGAATAAGACTATTTGCATCTCTCCGACACCATCCTAGGACCTAGACCAGTGATGGTGAACCTATGACACTCGTGTCAGAGGTGACACGCGAACTCATTTTTTTGGTTGATTTTTCTTTGTTAAATGGCATTTAAATATATAAAATAAATATCAAAAATATAAGTCTTTGTTTTACTATGGTTGCAAAGATCAAAAAATGTCTATATGTGACACGGCACCAGAGTTAAGTTAGGGTTTTTCAAAATGCTGACACGCCGAGCTCAAAAGGTTCGCCATCACTGCCCTAGACCAGCCATGTCAACTCTCCCCTGCACTCATGCAGTCGCCTCCTAACTGGTTTTCCACTGGGTTTCCCCATGTGATCGATTCTCTTCAAGGCAGCCAGTGTGACTCTTTAAAGTTCATTTTATCATGTCACCCCCAGCTTTAAAAACCTTAGCAGCTTTCTCATTGCACCACAAGGCCTCGTGATACTCTGATCCCTGCCTGCCAAACATGGCAAGTCCTTTCTGCTCCACGACCTTTGCACATGCTGTTCCCTCTGCCAGGAATGCTCTTCCCCTGGCTCTTCCTAGATTATCTCCATCTCATGCTTCAGGTCTCAGCAGAAACACCGCCTCCCCGGGCTTTCCCCGAGTCCCCTCTGTCACAGCTCCCTGCTAACTGCCTTCAAAGCACTTGTCAGCCACAGTAATTGTGATTCTCCATTCATTGACCCGTTTGCTGTTGCTTTCCCCAGTGGACTGCTGGGGTAGGTCCTGCTTCCATTTTGTTTGCCACTATTCTCTCAGCTCCTAGCGGATTCTGCCTGGCACATGGTAGGCACTCAATAACTATTGAGTCAATGAAAGAAGTTCCCCCAATGTATCTTCTGCCTTTGGAGTTTAAGAACACATAACTAGTCTCCGTTTTCCATGAAACAACTGACAGGCATTGTCCAGCTCTAGTCCTTTCCTCCATAAGCTGGTCAGACACTCCTTGCCCCGTTCCTCCCACTTGCTTGCTCCTAAGTCTGGTCAGTCTGGCTTCCTCCTCAGGCTCTCTTCTCAGGATCTTCTCACTGAGGGCTCACGAATGGCCAAACCCCAAGGTGTCCTTTCAGACCACTTTCGCTCCCTGCCTTGGCACCTGTGGCACAGTGTCCCCCCACTACCCCCCCCCCCCCGCCCCGCTTGACACTCCCACAACAATACAATGCTCTCCTGGGTCTCCCTCCTCTCAGGCCACTCTCCACCTCTGCACTGACTGTTCCTTCTCCACCCCAACCCTTGTGTTGCCCAAGCCCAATTTCCTCACCCTCTGCTTGTCTTTCTATGCTCTCCCACGTAGCATGGCTCTCAGCTGAACCACAGCCTCTCAGCTTCAGTGCAGTTCACACAGGTCTACCATGTCCTGCTACCACCTAACGCCCTTGGCCAGCCAGCACTGTCTCCTCGGTGCCCTGAATATTCTGTCATCATCCACACCTCCACACCTGTGCTCATGCCCTCCCATCTACCTGAAATGCTCTTCAGCTTCCACTCTGCCCTGTCAGACCCTAGCTTATCTCTCTGTAAGGCTTGGCCCAAGTCCCATCTTCTCCCTGAAGTCTTCCCTAACCAGTTTGGCCCAAATGAAACTCCCTTCAATGAGCTCCTGTAACTTACTTTTCAGAACACTCAGCTCAGCAATTAATCCTGTATTGTCTGCTCATGTCCATCATTTCACATGCATGGCGTTTACCTCTGCCGCAAATCCTAAATTCCTGAGGGCAGAGCATCCAGTCTCCCCTTCCCTGCAGGGCTTAGCACAGAGCTAGGACCTAACAGGCTCTCAGCACAACTGTTAAACTCTGCTTCCTCTTTCAACTCTCCCTTCCCCAGCTGAGCGTCCCAGAACTCGTGAGCTTTCCCCACAGGATTCACTTGAGCCTCTCAGAGCTCTCCTCTGAACTGGCTCCAGTTCCCCCAGTTCCTCTTTCATTGTGGAGCCCACGCCCACCCCCAAGGCTTTCTGAGCATCCAACCAGGCTGAGAACAATGCCAGGGTGACCTCATGCTATACACCCTGTTTGGTGTTAGCTCTACTTTTTAACCACAATCTGCCCTCTGGCTGAGGAGCTGGGGGAGCAGCTGCCAGCTCAGCTTTGGCTGTGCTAGCCTTGCCTCTCCAGCCTTCTCAGGGTCTACTCCACCCCACCCTGGGTCCTTTACTTGTAACTTCTCTTTCTGCCTGAGGTCAAGTGGCCACACCTGTGATAAATGGGAAGGAAGCGGGTGTTTTGGCCCTGACCTACCCCCAGTGGAGAAGCTCCCAAGCTGCCAGGGCTAGGACGGCCCAGCAGAGGGGCCTACACCTTTCTGAGCTGCTGACTTCCCTGTTGGCAGGACGGGTGGTTCTAAACTCCAGTTATTCTCCCAAACCAGCGATTAATCAGAAAGGGGTCTTGGTCTCAGGGTGCCAGTCTCCTATTAGTTCAAAGAAGCTCCTCTTTCACCAGGAATAAGAACATCACCTCCACCCCAGCCAGAAACAGTAACCAGGGCTCCACCCCTTACCGAGGAGGCGGTGAGGAAGGGATAAATTAGCTTGAGCGAGATTTCTTTGGAAATAAACATCATCAATTCTAGGGAACAACCTAAGCCGAGGCTGGGTAGTCATCTTCAGAACTGTGAAGTACCAAGCCTTGGGCAAGATAGAAATAGACCCTCCTATTAATGAGGACGGAACAGCACCTGGGAGGAGACTCCTGGGTGCAGTTCCGCCCGGAGCCAGTGACAGAGAAGGAAGCCGTATGGACTACGCATTTCTTAAATGCTCCCAGCTGTAGGGCAGTAGAAAATTACCAGCCCTGCATGGGGAAGTGCAGACCTCGAAGCAGTCCCCAGGGATTTATAGCCCCGGACGCTGAGAACCAGCTGAGGGAGTTAGGCTCTGATTAATTGTTAGGATAAGCTGGATGTGAGAGTACCAGGCAGGAGTGATAAACTCCCATGCCGTTAGGACACAGCACAGACCCCTTTGGAATTTCTTTGTTCCCCTTTTACTCCCTCCTGAGTGAGAAAATTTATAGTCTGGCCATCTGGCCCGGGGTCTTGGCTGGCAGGTCAAACTGACCTAACAAGCAGGACGTCTTGTCAGGTAATAACAAATGTCCCAGGAAGCCCCTGGCCGATGTGTGAACCCTCTTTGTCCTCGTTACCCCCACCCCTATTTTGAGTTGTGTATAAAAAGCTGTAACTGTAACCGCTCGCTGCTGCTTCCTGCGCGTGTCCTGCCGCGGCGGCAGCCCGGATTCGAATCTGTTAATAAAGAAACTCCCTCTCCAGATTGGCAAGGGAGAGGATCTGTTTCACCAAATTCTTGGTTTGCCGTGGTTTCCTGTCTCGCGGGTACTTTCTCCTTATAACACCAGCCAAACTGTCATTCCTGGGGACTTAGTTTAGCTCCTCAACAAGCAGGTCCTCAGGGTGCCCTTTTGGGAACTGCCTGTGTCCCTGAGGAAGGCAGGCCAAACAGAACCATGACACAGGCGCACAGATCGGAAGTCAGCTCCGAAGCAGCCGCCAAACCCAGGGAAGGGGGAAGGGAGCAGAACAGGAGAAAGGAGGGAATGTGAAGGAAGGCAGGCAGGAGCCCAGGTTAAGGAGAAGGAAAGGGGAAAGGTGGCCTTAAAAATCCAGTTTATCAGCAGTCCAAGTGAAGACTTTGGGAGCAAAGTCATTAACTTTATAGGTAGCACTTAGTTGGGTGGGGTGACTAACATCTTAGAAAATGGGATCAGAACAAAAGCAGCAAAACCCAATGAAGATAAGTCTCTCTAAAAAAGGGCAGCCCACCCTGGAGCCCTATCCGGCCACTCAAAGTGGAGGAAGACTGGCTGGGCAAAATGACGCGGGGGGTATCTGCTGGGAACGCAGATCCGTCTGCTAGAGCTGCTACTGCAAAACGCAGGCCGGCAAGTCCATCTCCAAGCGCTGCGTATCAGGGTCCGTCTACTCGAAAGTCCCCTACTATCCTCTCCATCTTTTAAGTGACAAATGAAGAGGATACTTGAAATAACAAAGGGGATGGAGAACCGACGTCTCAGTCCTCACTGCCTCTCTGGGAATATCTTGCCCAGACCCCATGAGCCTGGCTCAGAGCCGAGACCCCTCACCAGGATGTAGAGCAGGATGTAGAGGTGGTGGGTCAGCCAAAAGCCCCGGAAGCTGCAGCGCCGGAAGTGGCGGGAGGCGAAGACGTACATGACGGCCAGGACCAGGAGCATTGTAACCCCCGTGAGGCCTGCAAAATGAACAAGGGTTCTGAAGGGCAAGGGAGCGAGGCTGTTCTGGGCCTGCCAAGGGCCTGGACCCTTTTCCACCCCACTGTCCTCGGAGGGGGTGGGGAAAGCCCAGCATCTTCCTCTGTTCCTCTCCCTTCACGCCACTGGTCACAGGTACCTCTCTCTTCGATAGACCCTACTCACCCCTCATAGACTTTGTCAGGATATATATATATATATTGCCTCCATTCTCTTTATTGGTGGGAGTTTAAGTTGATGTATCTTTTAAAAAGTGTACATACCCTTTGAGTAAGGAATTCATCTGTTAGGAATTTATTCTACAAATATATCACGAGGAATGCAAGAATACATGTACAAGATGTTCATGGCAACATAATTTGTAACAGTAAAACAGCTGGAAATAACTTACATGCTCAAGAAGAGGGAACTGGCTGAGTAAAATAATAGCATAGGAATACAATAGAATAGTATTCTGCCGCAAAGAAATGAGGCAGATGTACTGGCATGAGATGTCCGAAATAAAATGCTGCCCTGACCGGTTTGGCTCAGTGGATAGAGCATCGGCCTGCGGACTGAAGGGTCCCAGGTTCGATTCTGGTCAAGGGCATGTACCTTGGATGCGGGCATATCTCCAGTGGGGGATGTACAGGAGGCAGCTGATCGATATTTCTCTCTCATTGATGTTTCTAACTCTCTATCCCTTTCCCTCTCTAACATGGCTGTGTTCCCCTGTGATGGAGTTCTGACTTGGCTCAAACAATAGTTCATTCAAGTGGACACTTTCTGGGCTGTCATGGAAAATGTCAATAAAAAACCTGGTTTGTCTGAATGCTGAATCCGGGCTTTTATTTCTGCTAAGCTGGTCTCCCCCTCTTGGGGGACTGAAGCTGCTGCC